CGTGACACACAAAAATCAATGTTTAACTGTGTTTTTTTTTTAATATTTACTTATAAATTCAGAAATTAATAATGTATAATACTATAATTTGAATTATAATCTACAGTTTGATACCAAACTTACTGACATAGATTTATAAAATAGTAATTCAATAACATTTTAAATGCGAGTCAACAAACACGATGTCATGGCCTTTGACCCATGTGGAGAGGATTAATGTCTGTTATCCTGCCCTCTGTCCATTAGCCACCCTCTTTAGTATGCTAGTAGATATGTTACCTGAACCACATAACTTGTTCTTTTAGGCATAGTCTACACCACTCACTGCCAACTCTTGTCTAACTAAATAGTTAGACTTCACCACCACTCTTTTAGTACAGCCATGGCTCCATAGTTGAATATGGTACTTAAATTTTAAATATCTAAAACAATTGCTGTTTTCTTCTATACATTAATAAACCAACTTCACTATAACAAAACTTCCATGTCAATAAGAACTTATACCAAGACACTTACTTCAAACTCATCAAAAATTGCTCTATGATGGAAATAAGCATGGGAAAAGATCCTGTACACTCGTCGACACACTGATCCTAACTTGGCCACTGATGATTCTTTAATGCTGACCCTGCATTGAAAAAAAAAAAAATAATATATATATATATATATATTTCAGCTGTGGCATTCGCTAAGTAGAATCAGCTTAATATCATACAGAGTATTAATTTGACAAGGAATATGTACAAGTATGTTATGAACACTACCGTTCTAAGTACCACTAATATGAACATTTACTATACATGATAAGTTTGATATAAAGAACATGATTAGGATTTAATACTTTCAGTAAACCATCACTTACATTACCATTATCTTCAGTAACTCAAGAGTATAAAATGCCAATTTTACATCAACTAACAAGGTATTACATTATGAAAACCTTAATGATAAGAAAAAATATATCTTTAAGTGCAACCTCTACAACTAAGAAGATTTATTTTTTTTTCAATCTGTACAACCTTCATAGCTTATATATATATATAAAACACAGTAAAAAACTACGTGATGTAAAGCTTAATTTGTCAAGTTTGGAATCCTACATACACAGCTATAAATTATCAGAGTAAATGCAAAACACTTAACTCTCACCAATCATTAACAAATTTACTATTAGAGTAGTGGAAGCTGAATGTAATTTGTTATAAGTGTGATGCCAGTTGTAAGTTTTTTTACTAGTCGAAGATACCTGAATATGTATTTATCAGTCCCCATTTTTAAGTTATATAAATTTATATATTTTAAATTCATTTATGTTTTGGATTTGTTCTTCTTTTAATTAAAAATACTTGTAATAATATTTAATCTATATAGACAAATTAGAATTCATTTCACTATATACATTTATAAAACGATTTGAAGAATTATATATTTCTCGGAATATGAAACTGCATTATCCCATGTGTGTGTGTATTTGTACGAATACTAATTAGCTATAAAAGTAACTGTTAAATAGTAATTAGCTTCCTATGTGAAAGAATGTGAAAATTTTAATAATTTTTTATTGAATTTCATACAAATTGACTAGAGGGCTATCTGTGCTGGTGATAAAAAAAAAAGGAAGGAAGGCAGCTAATCAACACCACTGACTGCCAACTCTTCAGCTACACTTTACCAATGAATAATGGGTCTGACCATCAATTATAAATGGTTGAAAGGGCAAGCAGATTGCAAGTCAAGTGCCCTAACCTCCAGGCCATGCCAAGCAACAAATCTGTATATAGTCATACCTTATAGGCTATCAGACCAGTTGTACTGAAAATGTATCAAGTGAATAGTAGATATATAAATAAACTAGCGCACAGCCTATCAACAATGATGGGGCAAGTACTACCACCCCCACCCCATAGTATACCCTAACCTCACATTTCTCAGCTAACTGAAATAAATAAATAAAAGGCAGAAAAGTGCAGTCGAGGCAGTCAAACATTGGTTTCTTTCTTAGTGAGGCAATCAAAATTAAGATTATTCATGAAATGCATTGGTGGCGTATTCATAGAATAATTATTGGTAAAAATTAGTTAGATTAACAGTTTTAGAAAAGTCAGTACATTTTGGTAACACTACATTCCAACAATAGCTTTTATGTCATGTTGCTTAGCAACAAAAGTATAACCTAATATTGTTGTTAGTCTATGTATTGAAAGTATAAAATGAAATGTATAGACAACAAAACTAGAAAAATATTTGTTGATTTCTTAATTTAGTCTCCGTTGATTAAAGAGGTATGTTTTTTATTGAAAATGTTGGTGATATAACAAAAAATAGCTTAATTCAGAAATGATTTAAGTTTAAAATCAAATCGATATTTTTACTTTCATGATAAATTTTATGCACTTGGCTCTAGGCTAGGCAATCCCACACCACGTCTTTACTTTAGGCTTATTATACCAACACTCACTACACTTATAAGGTTTCACGGCACACTCCCTCATGGCCCCCTTATACACCATGTCACTAAAATCGTAATGGGCAGCCAATAATTGAACTATCTGGATAAATGTATTTTGACTTTTATGACTCCTCTTATTTCAAGAAATCAAGAAAAATCAAGAGTGACATGACACACACTGGTTTTTTATAGGTTAGAACAGTGGTTCTCGAAACATTTTAGGGTCGCATACCACTTTTTTAAAAAAAAATTTTAAATTACAAACTCAGGCCTAATTTAAAAGAAAAAGATAAAAAAACCTGGTAACAAAAATTCATATACTTAACACTTACCCATTAATGCAAAGGATGAGATTGTTTTTTTTGGCACGAATTGAATAATATGTGGTATCATTTTTGTCAATTTTAAGGGAAAAAAATACTAGCGAGTCTATGCAAGTAGAGGGTGAGTCTATAAGTGAAGAGAATAGTATGTGTATGTATGTGGAAAGCTCAGATAGGACTTATTATAAATTTTATGATTTTTTATATTAATTGTCGTGTACCACCAATACTAGCTCCACGTTCCACCAGTGGTACGCATAACACAGTTTTGAGAATCCCTGGGTTAGAAGATTGCATTTGTTGGTGTAGTCAAATTATGTAAGATTAAGCTACAGAAGTACATATTTGCACTCATTTACAAGTAAGTCTAACAATCCATAAATTTTGTTTTGACAGTTAAAATTTTATAACAATGGTAGTACTTACACATAACCTGTAGTTTGATTGGTATCTTTTTTCCTGACTATGAATATCTGGCATGTATCCAAATAAAAATAAATATATAAATGTATTCAGTTTCATTTGATCTTTTCAGTCAATGAATCAAAGACTTTATTTAACAATAAAATAAACACAAAATTATCTACACATTATTCTACTTAGTCTCCAATTCCTTTTCATATTACTTATCAGCAAATGTTCTATATCAAACTCTTACTTTTATCCCTTCAAATCAACACAAAACACAAATATTCCTAGGAAAACATAATATTTAACTTACCTACTAGGGAAGTATTTATTACTATTTAATAAACAAGCAGCACCGTCTAATGTGTGTCTAGTGTAATCAATAGCGGGACACTCTTTAGGAGTTTTGTGAGCAGCACAAAGAAAAATCCACTGTTCTGTAGCTGTCATCTGTGTACAGGTTTCAGGGTTGCACTCATTCTAATGCAAACAAAGAAAAAACATCAGTAAATGTCATAGTTTCTTAACAGGTACTTGCAAGAAGAGATATAAAAATGTCAAACATATACACCTGGAAAAAAGTTAAGCACCCCCGTGTTTTTTTCAAGTGATTCAGATTCGACGTTCTTGTGACTGATTATAAATTACCACTCAATTTAAACGTGTTTATCAAATGAAATTATGCATTACTGGCCACAAGAAAACAAGATTATCACCGTAAAATAAAAATTTTTAATTTACATATCATGACATCAAAATATGGACAGTTTTCACGCTTAAAATTATCTTTAATAAGTATTGTCAGTGAAAGCTCAAAAACGTTATTGAATTGTCAAATCACCTTGCAAAATGTCAATCAT